TCCCCCCTTCCCATTTTTTTTGTAATAGATTTTTTTTCCCCCTTTTTTTCCTTTAGTTTTTTGGAAAACATTTCTGCCCTTTAAAAAATTCCTATTCTTTAAAAATTCAAAATTTTTACAAAAGAAAAAAAACCCGATTTTTGCAGTTGGATTTAATGCTTTTTCAAACTCGTAACGTCTTTATCGTTCATAAGAGTAATCACCGGCCTGCTTATAACCTTAACGTCGAAGGCCAGGACTCTTTCACGGATAGTATCACCCGCCCGTGCACGGGTTTCGGTGTCCTTAGAACGATAAAGATGTATTAAGCTCCGCTCAAAGGACCAATCTGTCATGTGAATTTCTATCTCTAATTCAACCTAAGCTTGAATCATTACCAGAGGTTGTAAGGCTCTGGTTTTAATCATCAATGATTCAAGGTCCATAACCACGAAGAAGGATTTTTTGTATGTTTATTCATGGAGAGCTCTGGCGCCAAAGACACAAACATACGATTTTATACCTCCTAAACTTGACTCCTCCCACCTTTAGGTGACTTTTCTAAACAGTTTCCGCCTCCCCCTTCACCCTTGAATGTTTAGTACCGCCCCCTCTGTTAGTGGGTTGACACTACATGATAATTCTAACATTTATACTGTATTTGGGGTGAAATCCTTTAGTCATTATTCTTAAAATCCAAATTAATCTAACACTTACACAAAGACTACACTAATTAAGGTCTTGATAATTAGGTGATTAATTGAATCAGGTGTGTTAGAGTTGGGCTAGAACTAAATCATTTACACCCTGTTACTTTCCGGTAGAAACATTATTGATCCCATCAATAAAGTTAATGTGAAATCTAACCTGTGAATCATCCATGTGGAACGCTACAGCAACGTTGTCCCAAACGTAGAACTGGTGTTTCTGTGGATCAGGGATCAGGTGGGCTACATCCTGGTTCTGGTAGGGCTTTGGCACCAGTTTGAAGCTGTGGAAAGGAAGTGAAAGTGTGAGTTAATTCAAGTTGTAACTAAGGCATCCCATGCTAGAATTGAGAGTGATTTTTGTAGCTACTATTGCTGTTACATCTAAAGTAACTGATATATTTAGCATTGCATGGGAACGTTTTGAGTCGGCACATTGTTTACATTTATCTGTGAATTACACGCACACATACGCACACACTCTAACCTGTGTGTCTCACACATGTCCTCGGGTCTCCAGATGATCTATCCATCTCTGTAAGCACAGACTCCATCATCATTGTCCTGGAGGAGAGGGTACTTCTCAAAGAGGTCGTTGTTGAAGTGACTGTGGACTTGCACTGAGTACATCACCTCCTGTTTGTACAGCACTGTCTCATACACACGCAGGATTGGGCTCGTGTCCAAAACATAGCTAAACAAAAAGACAAATACCTTTATTATCATTAAATTACATGATCTTGTTTCTTTCAATTATTTGACCACAAATTCTCACATGGTCTCGGTATGTACCCAGCACAGGAGGTTGGTGGTACCTTAATGGAATTGGTGGAATGGTATCAAATACGTCAAACACATGGTTTCAATGTGTTTGATGCCATTCCATTTGCTCCGTACCAGCCATTGATATGAGCCGTCTTCCCCTCAGCAGCCTCCATTGATACTACCCAGCAGTCCTGTATGTTTATTCTACAGATATTTTAACTGTTCCACTATTAAGACTTCAGTACCTGTTCCCGGTATCTCTTGAGCAGCTTCTCCAGGGGGTAGGTGAAGCGGTAGGAGCCCAGCCTGGAGGTGTCCAGGAAGGCAGGTGAGGTGGTGAACCTCTGCAGGAAGGATGTCTGCTCCCTGGCCTGCTTCTCCGTCCTGTCAGGGTACCTGGCCTGGAGCAGACGCTGTTCAGCCGAGGCCATCTCCTCCGCTCCCAAAGACAAGCTCCACCACAGCAGGTCCAAACCTTCTGGCCCCTCTTCTGGGTCCTCTGGCCCCTCCTCTCGGTCCCTAGCACGGAACCCCCCCTTGGCTATCGACGGCTATGCCAAATAGCCCGCCTTCATTCATGTCGTGTCTGAGCTGGGAAACCCGGAACTCTGGCCTTGGGTATTCTAGGATGTTGTCTTTGAAGAGGTAATTGTTGTGAAAGCCCTGAGCTTTCAGTCTCAGTCCTAGGTCCGACAGTTTCAAGTGCTGGGCCTGGACAGCAAACTCCTGGTGTCCTCTGTGTTTTTTGCGCACAACCACGTCCATGTTCTGCTCTCACTTCAGCGTTGTCTGAGGAGAATTTGGAAGAAAATAATGTTCAAAATACCAAAAAGGTAAACAGTCTACCGAACCAGAACTAATGTGTCTTCTGAAAACACCAACATACAGTAACACAGAGTGATGTGGGATGTTTGGAAAGTATTGGAGAAAGAAGTGGTGGCAGTCAGCGTTTACTAGGTCAGCCCTTTAATCTGTAGGCTACCATAAAATATACTGTACAACCTGAAGATTAAAGAGGTGAACCATTGCCCACCGGGTTGCTGGTTCAAATCCCAGGCCTGTCGAGAGTGGGAAATGTGGGACAGCAAAATCTCTGGTCCTTGTGCCTGCATCACGACTTCACTACCAGCTGCATGTTCATCTGACCCATGCGCGTAGACCAGAGCTTTTCCGGATTGACTGACCTTCATGTCTTAAAGTAATGATGGACTGTTGTTTCTCTTTGCTTATTTGAGCTGTTCTTGCCATAATATGGACTTGGTCATTTACCAAATAGGGCTGTCTTCTGTATACCACCCCTACCTTGTCACAACACAAATTATTGGCTCAAACGCATTAAGAAGGAAAGAAATTCCATGAATTGACTTTTAACAAGGCACACCTTCTAATTGAAATGCATTCCAGGTGACTACCTCATGAAGCTGGTTGAGAGAATGCCAAGAGTGTGCAAAGCTGTCATCAAGGCAAAGGGTGGCTATTTTGAAGAATCTCAAATATAAAATATGTTTTGATTTGTTGAAAACTTTTTTGGTGTTATTTCATACTTTTGATGTCGTCACTATTATTCTACAATGTAGAAAATAGTAAAAAACAAAGAAAAACCCTTGAATGAGTAGGTGTGTCCAAACGTTTGACTGGTACTGTATATTCCACCATAAACAGAACACCATCTATCATTTAAATTCATAGGAAACTTTCTTAGCAAGTAGGGATAAACCATAGGCCTATTTGTCACAATTATAATCTGAAGGTAAGCAAGGGTGCTTTCCAGTCACCAACTACGCTGACGTCTAAGCAGCAGAAGGATTTCGGTCGGCCGTGGCTATTATTCGCGCCACGCTTTAATAGTTCCGTTCAAATGGAGAGTGGGGGCGGGGCTAGGTGCTGAGGCTCCTTGCCTGACTGGCTGAAACGTTCTGTGTTCACGCTTAACAGGGAAGGAAAGGTCTTGCTTACCCAGCCCCAGGGAGGAGAGTCCCTTTCCTTAGGGAATTGAATAGTGTTCCATTATTGATGGATAAATCCTTTGTACAACCGGGAAAGGTGGGTAATTGTTCAGGCTATAATGTTCCCAACATAATGATACAAAACATGACATATTCTCCTTGAAATACAGATAAGTTATTCACAACGGGGTGAATACACAATATCATTGAACATTTCTACAGCACACAATGATCATAGCATGCATCAGTACACTTCTTGCTTCCTGCGCCTAGGTCCTTATGTAGCCTAATAACTTATCCAAAAAAGCAAGGTTTTGTTGTTAACAAGAATGTTCTCCTGATTCCATATGAAAGGTCTGGATTCTGTCCGTTTAGCGCAAGGCGAGCCATTTTGCAAGCCCCTGCTGTTACTGTGCCATCCTGTCCTGGATAGAATGTTTAAAGTGGATGTTCTGACGTTTAATGGCCTTCTGGAGTGTTATCGTGTAATCCGGAGTGTGTTGGGAAAGGGAGAAAAGAGGTAATGGGTTGCGTCACGTCTTTTCATCTCTACCGTTGGCATGCCAATGGGCAAGTAGATGTGTATTGGGTATGGTCTGCCAACTGCCAGGCATTTGGAAATGGTCTGGTCATCAGTCAGTGCGACATCCCTACACCGGTATATGCCCACACCATTCTACACCGGTATATGCCCACACCATTCTACACCGGTATATGCCCACACCATTCTACACCGGTATGGTATATGCCCACACCATTCTACACCGGTATGTTATATGCCCACACCATTCTACACCGGTATATGCCCACACCATTCTACACCGGTATATGCCCACACCATTCTACACCGGTATATGCCCACACCATTCTACACCGGTATGGTATATGCCCACACCATTCTACACCGGTATATGCCCACACCATTCTACACCGGTATGGTATATGCCCACACCATTCTACACCGGTATGGTATATGCCCACACCATTCTACACCGGTATGGTATATGCCCACACCATTCTACACCGGTATGGTATATGCCCACACCATTCTATTGTTGGGGTACGCCCACACCATTCCAACACAGAAAACCTGCTTTTTAACATACTTAATTCCATTTCTATGGAAGGAAAACTATTTAACTCATATTGTAAGTAATTATAGGTCACTTTTAATAGAAATCTGGAAACACTGGACAGTTATTTTAAAGGTAGACTCAGTGTTATGCAGCGGCAATTTTAGCATGTAAATCTTGGTGGGCAAACTAAAAAAACATTTTTTGATGCATGCCAGAAAAGCCACTACAGAACACAACACTAAACAATACATTAATTGCACTATAACGGTGACTAACAGTGCCCACAAACTGTTAGGGCCTACATAAAGCTGTCCCAACAGCAGTCCCAACACCTTCCCACTGCTACACCTGGCTATCAGCAGAGCCTTGTCTGGCAGCGAAACAGTTCATTCAGCCTAATTTACTGCCTAGCTGATATGGCTGACTTGCTTAAACAAATGTGGTTTCTACTGACAATTGAGATGTACAAACTATGGCATAAGGGGACGACGAGCAGATAAGAGGCAATCGGTAATTTCGAGCTAGGATGGACGTAGTCAATATTACTTTCTTAGTTACAGTATACATATCTCGCTGGCATATTACATCATTTATGCAGCAGCATACAATACATTTTTGGACTCATCTTGTTGTGCTGTCATCAAAGTCTGTCATTCTCTGGATTTATGGTGCTTTCAAGACAACTGTGAACTCTGAAAAAAACAAGGTCGAATCATGATGACGTTAGTGATCTTCAGGTCGGAGCCCTAAAAAGAGGCTTACAATTCTGAGTTGGATGACCGTTCATAACGTATTTTCCCAGTTGGAGCTCGTTTTTCCCGAGTTCCCAGTTGTCTTGAACTCACTGAAATGCTTGCAGTTAGCCACTGATTCCTTCCAAATCACTCATTGTTGAATTTCTGATTACCAACTTGTTGTGTAATGTTTATGTCCAATGGCCGATAAGCACCGATACGTTTTATCTATAATTATTCTTCATTATTTTTCTTCATATGACAAGGATAAAAAATAATTTTCCAGTAGATTGTGACTTCATTCATGATGATGACTGCTAGCTAAGATTTTGAAAGTATGATGTTGACATGATCAGTCCAATCAAAGCTACTGTAGATGTAAGGTGATTTGATGTAATTTTATCTGTTGCCAATGACCTTGAGCCTTCTTGGATGGGCACTTCTAATGTAACTCTATGGCAGCATCCAAGGGGCTTGAATTTTCAAGCTCTACCCTTACATTTGACGGTGATGTAGTGTCCCTATGAGTGAGAGAACACTGAGCCAATCACGGCGCAACTGGAGAACGTTACCAACCCCAATGCTCCGTATTTTCCGCTGGCAGCCCCACCACCACAGAAAGCACTGAGCTAGGCTGAAACACCTTAATTTTGGAGCTACCTTACTCAAGAAAGCAAAAAAGAGACCAAGTTTGTATGCGGCTTTATTAACTCAATGATATATATATATAAAAAAATCATTGTTTGCAAACTGATATGTGACACATATTAATGCCAATATAACATGAAAATCAGGTAACCCCCCAAAAACATCTTACTACAATACATTTTAATAGAAAGTTAGCAAAAATAGATAAGATCTTGCTACCATGGAAAGGTAAATACCTATCTATTTGTGAAAAAATCACCCTGACTAATTATTTAGTCAGAACCTGTCACGCCCTGGCTCTGGGGACACTTGTATGTTGAGCCAGGGTGTGAGTTTCCTTTGTGTATTCTAGTTGTTGTATTTCTATGTTGGCCAGAGTGGTTCTCAATCAGAGGCAACGAGTGTCAGCTGTTGCTGGTTGTCTCTGATTGGGAACCATATGTAGACAGGCTGTTTTCCCACAGTGGTTGTGGGATCTTGTTCCAGTGTGGTTTGTGTTAGACCGAGGACGGCACGTTATCGTTTGTTGTTTTGTTTGTGTAATCATTAAATAAAAAGTATTTTCGCCTTCAACGCTACGCCTTGGTCCTCTGTTCCCGACGATCGTGACAGAACCCAGTTTATCTATTTACCTATGGCCATGCCTACACCAAACAACTTGTTTTTTAAAATTATATGAGCTAAAAATATTCCACTTTATTTGGAACCGCAAACCAGACAAAATTAAACGGGCCTATTTATATAATGAATAGGAATTTGGAGGGCTTACATTATTAAATATTAATGCATTGAACCTCTCACTAAAGGCTTCAGTCAGGCAAAAGTTAAAGTTAAATCCAAACTGGTTTTCCAGCAGAGTAGTTAGAATGACTCCATGTACAAGAATATACTTTTCCCCTTTATTGATATTGCAACCTCTCACTTTCAGTTATTTGAAAATGAAATAATCTCCAGAATATCACTATTTTTAAACAAGCTATAGAAAGCTGATTGCAATTTCAGTTTAATCCACCAGAAAAGACTGAACAAATAGGCCTATTACAACAAGTATTGTCTAAACTCAAATATACTAATTGATTTTAAAAAATCATTATTTTAGGATTTTTTAAAACAAATTGTATTATCTTTGTTAATGATATCATAAATATGACCGGTGGAGTTATGTCACACATGCAGCTAACAAAAATATATATATATGGTTTTCAGAGATAGATGGAAGGGTTTGAGGGTAGCTGAAGGGTGGGACTAAAAACAAATACAAATAGATGACTAATGTAAAATATACTGTGTCTGTAAAATGTATATAGTATGTATAATCTGGAAGTAGAAGCCTAAATATTGTTGGCTATTAGTTTACTCCC